TAATCTGCAACACGAAATGTATGCGAGAATCACCTTCCTCTCCGAAAAAGAGCTGCGAAGAGGCCCTGAAGCGCATACTTGCCGTCCTTGCAAAGCCGGCCCCGTATTCAACCGGACACGCTTCGCTCTTCACAAACGAGACGATCCCAGCGCTGTAATAGAATCCAGTCAGAGTTCGATGCATCAGCGGGCCCCCAGAATCTCCCTGGAAGCATAATGACTCAAGTGCAAATCCCAGTTGTTTTCTTCCTCATTAATTCCTATTTTTTGCTTACAAGGCAAATATTGCTTTCGGTTGACTGCGTGCAGATGAAGTTGCTGTTGATGAAGAAACCATACTTATTCTGACAAGTCTCTTGACTGATGACGTACACTGTCGCTTCCAGTAATTCCTCTGAGAGATCTGGCTCACCTTATATGCGGTTCCACAGTCGATAAAATGATAAAAAAAATCATACATTTCCCTAACCCCCCAACCTCAACATGGACTCACTTCCCAAAAAGCGACCCCATCCCGAGATCGTTACATTCGTTCCCTCACCGGGGTTGACACCGGAGGAGAGACATATGGGCCGGATGTGCGGAAAGGCCGAGAAGTTCAGCGGAGTCTCTAGTTTGAGGAGCGCGACGTCGTTGCTCAGCCAGGTCGGAGTATCGTACTGTGGATGGATGATGGCTCTCGCTGGAATCTGAATGGATTCGCTTTCGTCTGGGGTCGATCGGTCCAGGTCTCCCAAGGTCACGGTGAAGGAACCGTTTGGACTACATGTGAATATTGCATAATGATTCGCATTAATAATTATAAGGAGTGATAAAACAAATCCATAACGATATCTGTGGGAGAAAGTAAGATATTTCATCAAAAATGATCAGATAGATCAACGCTCGATGTTGGATATGTCCAAAGTGTTAAGATGATTGCATGTTTCTTTGTTATTATAGAAGATTATCTGAGCTATGCATTGTTCTGTTGCAATGTTTACTGTCGGATCATTGCACTTGAATGCTCCATCATAAAAAAATTCAATTAATTAGTTAGCCCAAGTTAGGCCCTCAAAACGATTTCGATTCTAGGTATATTTTTATATTTCACATATTCTATGCAGAGTGATTTACGACGAACATAAACATATTTTTCTTTCTAATCTGAGCAATTTCTGAGCAACAAACATGACCAAGCCACATCGGATGGTAACATGTTAACATCCAATTTTCATTCACTCTTTCTTTCAAAGGGGCTTTCAGATGGAACTGATATTTTGTGCTAAGGCTCATGGGTCAATAATATTATTTTTCTTACCTAAAAAGTGGCACGAATTGTAGACAAAGGGCTCTGCAGTAGACAATAAGGCCCTCCATCAGCAGCGCCAACTTACGGAATGTGAAAATGCCGCTTAGAGTCATGACCCTCACTGTCAAATCTCAACAGCATCCAACAGTCACTTGAAAAGTTACGGCCAATCAAATTAGGTTGTCGACTTTATAATAACCCTGTTGTCAGGAAGTTAGCACATGGGTGTTGCGGGCCATGCTGTACCCCCATGATTAAATTAAAAATCGCATTTGTTGTCCTCCTGTCCTCCGCTTGAAGTAGAAACTTGTTATTGTCCGTTGCCTATTCTCCAAAATAGGTCGACTGTTTGCCAAATTCAATTGAATTCGAGATTCTCCATTACAGATCATTACCTCACTAAATGCGGAATTTTCCACCTATAAACTGTGTAAATGGGCATTGCACAACTTACGCAGGGGTACTGAAAGATTTGACTTGCATCTCAAAACCTTGTAACCTTCCATGTAAGTATTACTCTTTCTTTTTGGGGAGGCTATCGATGAATTCACATAACTCACTTCCAAAAGACGCAATGGGCAGCAGTGAGAACGTATCGATCATTGATGAGGGCCCCTCCACAGATGAATTCGTACTGGGCACTCCTCAACCAAGCCATCCAGGGATACTTCGTCTGACTCGGGACTCGTGTTCCTCCTATGATTCTTTCCAGGTCGGACACGGTCGCGTTCTGCTCGGGTTTCATTTCACTTTGGGAAACTCCGCACCCTGAGAATAGAGTTATGATAGATATTTCTGTATTGGTGTATATTGGCCTTCTCTGAGCATGACGGAGTAGTGTTTTCTTAACTTACAGCAAGAGGTCGAAGCTCTCGATTCTGGAAGAGCAGACACTAGATGAGAAATGTTGAATTTTCAATCCATGTAAAAAAAAAAGAGTTTACGAAGGAGCTATACAAATCGCAATACCAGTTCATATATTTTGGAACGCTGGTTTTTGAGTCATAACCGCAAGACGCAAAAGGGAATATTGGGACTCTCTTTGTTATTTTTGAATAATCTAGCTTAGAAAATACGAATCCATACAAGGGGAAATATGAAGGGGACAACATCGACTTGAGTTGGAATCCTTGCGTACGCCAGACCAGGTTGTGGTTGTATCCAAAGCCGCCTTCGCATTCCATTGATAAGACGGGATCACAGCCGTATGCTACACGCTAGCTACTTTAGTTTAAAAAAAGAAGTTATCTTCTCCTTTGCTAGTAGGGGCCTATAACGGGAAATGACCTGTGATATCGCGTCTTATCCTTCTATAAATAAAAAATCTGGAAGACAGAAAATCCACGAGACTCCCAGTGTATACATGGAGTATCGAGATATATAGTTTCATTGTGTATTTTAGCTACGGGTCCACCCCATGGACCCGTAGCTAAACACCCGTGAAACAACTTAAATACAACCGTGGCCACTGTTGTATTTAAGTTGTTTCAAGCAAATACACTTTGTTTCTTCGTGGATTGTGATGGGTAGCCAGATGGTTCTAACGGGAGGATTTCTTGGATTGAACGGGATCACAAATATTTAAAAAAAGAATCCAACAGCATGACTATTGTTACTTCCTGCACATCCTGCACTCGTCTTCGCAAAGCAAGAACACTCCTCTCCTCTTAAGGAAAATAGAAGGGGGTGTCCCATTGAAGCTGCGAGTGTCTGACTCCAGGGAGGATTATCATCAATTAACTAAACCATCTTAAGAAATCGAGCTCTTTACTTAAGAAAGTTCAACCGGTGGGGGAAGTGGGCATTTCAAATCATTCTCAATCAACTCTTGGGGCACTCCCCTTGTTTGGTGGGAAGAAAAGCGAGCCTGGAGAGGAACCACCCATTCGAAGGATTTAATCTTAATCATCCCAATCCGACGAGAATATCGACGACGAGAAAATGAAGTCAATATTGTGGTATTCCAGAGTGGGCGAAGGAGTACATCGTGCGGTACCTGGCCAGCGGGTCGAATCCAGCGATGGCGGGGACCCTGCATCCTCCTCGTCCTATAGGAAATCGAACGAGTTGAGTTTTTGGAAATTGAATCGATTCTTCTTCGGCATGAGGACACCCAACAAACCTGAGCCCAGCAGAGTGTGAGAACGAGGAGAAGGACGGACGCCCCAGATGATTCCATGCTCGGGAAGCCGCACTCTCAACGACCCAACAGGGTAATTCCGATAAGAAGCCACGATTCCCCGCTTGGATGCCGTTGTCGTGATACGGAATCTAAATTTATGCTCTACATCCTGACGTGTGAATAGGGGTTTCCTGAAGTTGTGCGATTTCCATTTGGGCAGGTTCTAAACAAGGGCAGAACAAATTACCAATAAAGCAGATTTGAATCCCCGAATCATTCAAAATAAAAGATGTTGCAGCTGTTTTTCACATGTTGCAAAGTTCTTATTCTTTCGCATTTCAACATGTCGAAATCACGTCAAGAATTTTTGCCCGATCTTGACAATCCGGTTGCCATGATTAATAGTACTTGCGATTCATTTAAAATAAAAAAGTGAATGCCGCTATCAGACGTCAGTGGTGCTATCTCGCACGCTGTCGCTTATCTCCCCAAAGTCAGCATCGCGACGGTCGGCATGAGGATGCCTCCACGAAGTCGAATCGTGTTCAGAAAGGCACATTTCGACTATGAATGGTTCATTCGTTCTATTGCTCTTCTCTCTGAGGCTTCGAAGACCAGTTCTAAAACGGAGAAATCTTATTTATAATTTAGATGCCAGGGCAACAGGAAACGAAGATGAGCCCAAGTGTGCGCTTGAGTGTGTTCCGCTGTATGAATTGACTGTTAGAATCGTTCGATTGCGTCATGCACAATTTGCGCTATAGCGTTCATATGGTACTGTGCAGCTTGCACCCCTTGAGTAACACGTTGGCAATCAAAAATCGGGACCGAACGAAAATACAAGATATCTAAATGCTTAGAATAGAGACAAAGATGATTGAATCTGGATTGGGACCTGCGATGAGGAAGACCCATTCTCAGATTCAGCTAGGAAATTTTGCACTTGAATACAACCTGACTTTCAAGTAGGAGTGGTGGTAACTATGAGCCACCTCCTGTTATGACAAATTTCACATTTACTTGCTAATTGTCAGCTTGAGAATTTAACCATGAGTAGATTGAAAAAAAATAAAACTTTATTTGGCTTTTGGGGGCAACACAGATAGTCCCGTCTTGCTGTGCTTCCTCTCGGACCATGCGAAAAAGGTTTCTTACAAGGTCTTTCCTGGTTTGTCTTTTCTGCATGGAAAGGCGCATGGAGAAGTAAGGTGGCCAGCTACTTGCGGAGGCGCCATGGTATTATGAGCATTTTTCGTATGACTTATGAACATGCGCGGTCATCTAGATTTAACTGCGAAAATCGAGAAAGAACAGAACCAATAAAAGTGAAATGTCAATGAGCACCACTTCATTTCCAAGACGACGGAACGAGAGCATTTTTCGTATGACTTATGAACATGCGCGGTCATCTAGATTTAACTGCGAAAATCGAGAAAGAACAGAACCAATAAAAGTGAAATGTCAATGAGCACCACTTCATTTCCAAGACGACGGAACGAGAAGGCAAAGAAGAAGGCAGAAAATGTGGAAAAAACGAGAAGAATGAGGGCGCTGGTCACCATTGGGTGCAAGGCACCACTCGGCATCCTCGGTGTTCATCTTGATGAAATTCTCCACGTAATCTGCAACGGAAAACACATGATCTAGAGGTCTTAATAGAAAAATGCGTTTTGGGGAAGTCGCAAGGCACCCACTCGTTGTTCTCGCGAAGACGCCGCCGTATTGAGGCAAGCAATCGACCTTCCCAAAGGAGGTGACGCCAACGCTCTGGTAATATCCAGTCGGAGTTCGATGCATCAAAGAGCTTCCAGAATCACCCTAAAGAATTGATTTACTGCGATTGCACTCTCGATTCTCCGAGATTTCCAAACATTATTTTCTTACTTACTTGGCACGTGTTTTTTCCACT